CAGGAGGAAGGAGCCCAATGGAGCCGGTGGGACGGAGCGACGAGGTGCAGCCGGAGGAGCGGAGTCCTGAGGCGATTGCAGGTCGACATCCGACCAAGGCGGAGCCGGAGGGACGAGGGAGCCCGGTGGAACTGGTGGATCGACGGGTGATGGTGGAGGCGAGGGAGCTAGGAGCCGAGGTGGAGCCGCTGGGTCTACGGGCCGAGGCGGAGTCCGGGCCTCGGAGGCTGGAGGTGGAAGTGAGGGATTCTCCAGCCATGGCGACGCTGGAGGATAGCAGACCCGCGGAGCTCGCACCGTATAGATGGCGGGCTGAGGGCGAGCAGAGGGGCTGCCAGACGACAGCGGTGGAGGAGGCAGGAGCGGGCGGGGAGAGCAGTCCCAGATGTATTTTTAGCTCACCCTCAGCCGCGGTGCAGTGGGTGGAGCTCCACTTCACGCTCTCACCGTCCACGGTTTTCTCCCTCGCGATGGCCGTTGCAGCCGGCTCACACACCTGGTCTGATGGCTTAGGCTCTACTTCCGGGGCGATCCTCCGCTCAGTCACTCGGCATTGCGCTGGCTCGTAGATCGCGGCAGGAGTTGGCTCTCTGTCATCGGTGGGCTCGGGCTTTAGCTCCGCACCGCGGGGAGATGGTGGGTTGGGCTCTGGGTCTGGAGTGGATCTGACGAGATCATCCTCGGGAGTGACGGTGAGAGGCGATCCGTTTCTCGCCAGAATCCACTCCACAAACACAGCGAAATCCGCTCAAGGACCATCTTCGGACAACGGCGCTCTGATATGTAATATATATATATATTTTTTAATGGCAAAGTCAAAACAATATCAGTTTCATTCATTAATTTGATGCAGAAAGCAGTGCAACACTGAATCCCGTTGCAAAGATACAAACTAACTCTATTTCAAATACAGCAGAGGAGTTATTATTTTGCTTGCTTGCTGTTTTATTTTAGTTACTCACCAAGCGCCGCAGAGGCGGGAAACAGCATGTAGACATCATTGGTTTGAATTTATAAAAACCACCATTTGTCGAACAGCAGCGTTTGTAACGCAACTTCAATCTGATAAAACACACAGTTCTTCAGTAGCGGACGGTTATGGAGTTTGACAGTGTTGTGAACACGCTCAGGACAGTTGGACATTGTGGTGGATCAGAGATAAAAAAAATTATATAAATTCTGTTCAGTTTCTTGCACAGACAGATCGTTTCGTGTCTTAAGACCTCAATGTATCGTCACGAGCCGCAGGGTTTAATTTGGTTTTGTCTGTGTATGTTTTTTTAACTCTCAAAGCCGTGGAGCCCATTGACTACCATTATAAGACTGACAGACTGCAACGGTTTGAGTTAAACATCTTTGTTTGTGTTCTACTGAAGAAACAAAGTCACCTACATCTTAGATGCCCTGGGGCTAAGCAGATAAACATCACTTTTTCATTTTTGGGTGAACTATCCCTTTAAACCCGTAATCTTGATGATGTTGTTTGATGATGTTGATCAGTTTTAAGAGGACACACACACACACACTCACACACACGGTGTCGCTTCTATCCAATCAGAAACGTGCCTCCATTAGTCCTAAATTTACACGTTTTGAGGTTTGACGGTCACATTTTGTGTTCCTCCAAGCATATAATCAACACTTCTAATGAAAAATAACAGTGTTACGGCACAATTATCCTAAAATGTCAGAGTCGCTTTTCAATACGACTACAGACAAATGAAATTCAAATGAGTTGTCATTATGCAACTTTTCATTTCTACAAGATACAAATGAAATATCATAACAATTACACAGTATATCTGAGTGCTATATCAGTGATTAAAGAAATAGTTGACCTAAAAATCTATTACTAAACTAATATATATTAGTTCAAACATTTGAATGCCAGTGAATGATAGATACATACATAAAAATATACTCCCTTGCATACATTTTACAAACTAACATAATGTTGTTGTTTTTTTTCCTGACTGCTTGTATTTAGTTCATCATGTAAATGTCTGTGTTTTTGTGCAGGTCTCTGGAGGGAAAATGTTCCACTGATTTTTGTTCCTGCAACCTTAAAGTAAGATCAATACACACATACTCACACACACAATCGCACACTCACACACACACACACACACACACACACACACACACTCACGTATGAAGCAGAGTTTGAGGCTGGTGGTTGGTGAGTTAGTGATGGTTGGTTTGCTTGTGATGACATTAGAGACAGATGAAGATGAAGATGAATCCGGCTGAAGGCTCTGATCTGTGATGGGCGAGTGTGACCCATGTGAGTGTGTGAGTGTGTGAGTGTGTGTTTGGCGGCGCGTGTGTGTGTGTGTTTGGCGGTGTGTGTGTGTGTGTGTGTGTGTGAGAGTGTATGTGTGTGTTTGTGTGTGTGTGTGTGTGTGTGTGTGTGTGTGTG